GCAAAATTTTACAAAGATTTGTTAAGAATTTTGCCGGGGACGCAGAAAAACTTCGCTATATCCGTGAGTTCGCAATATCCGTTTGTATTAAACGAGTTTTACTGTATTGCAATTTTTTGCATAATCAGGTAACCCTGTAATTAGACAAGTTTAATTAAAAACCAGATTGTAACCAATACATTAAATCTTCCACCAATTTTCATGTTCACTCCTCTCTTGTCACTACGATGGTTTCCTTCCTTGAAACATACGCGTACAAACTGTCTGTTCCTGTTAGACAGGTGCATAATGAAAAATTATAAAGTTAAGGCATTAAATAAAACTATCACTGATGATTAAGGACAGATGATCCAAAATAGAAATGGATGCCAGTATTGATATATATTTTTTGACCTAATTTCATTGCAAATGAAGCAAAATATAAATGTTTGTAATAAAAGAAATTGTTAACCTTCTGTAACGTTCAAAATGCTACCTTTCTTACAATATTCATTTTTTTTATGTCCCAAGTAGTCATTTTTATTTATTTATTTAACTTTTTTTTACAAAAAAATTTTGTATCATCTGTCTTTAAGTTGTTTGGAAATTGGCGAAATCATAATATATCATAATGAAAAGTTAATGGTCGTTGGTGTCGTTTGTTTTCTGAGGAGATACAATTCGCACAACCTTGGTGAAAAGAAATAATAAATAAAACAATATAATAAATAAATTTTACAACGATTGATGCATGTAATATACTTTTTGATATTTGATATTGACGATTTGTTTCAGAATATAATGTTGAAAAAAAATTCCAATTATTTTACAATAGACACCATAAAAAGCAAATGCAAAAATCCATTGTATAATTTTATCTTTCCCTCATTTTGTAGTTACTTTCTTTTAAAATCCATTTTTTCTACAATCAATGCTAAAAAATTTAAAAATAAGTTAACGGAACAATAGGACTAGGTATGTACTACCTGAAAATAATCAAATATCTTTTTTACTAATGAACATCTATTCCCGTGTATTCTAATGAACTGAAAGCGTATTCTAAGTATGAAATTCCCCAAGGTACTTTTGAAAAGATTTTTCTATGAAAAAGGGAAGTAAAACATGGGATTAATGAAAAAAGTAAGAGACAAGTATAGAAAATCATTCTTTTTTTAATATTTATATATCATAGTGGTTTCTTAAATTAAAGTGCTGGTTGATTATTGTATTTTATGTTTAAAAGTCCTTAATTTTATTTTCACAAGCTCAGTAGTACCAATAAAAGAATCACAAGCACCAATGAAACCCATATTTGTGTGTGAGAGGGCGTGTTTGCATGTGTGTTTTTAACTAAAAGTATTTTTGATATCTATTAATATTGGCAAAAGAACGGGAGCCTTGTGTAATTTAACGAATAAAAATCGCCACTTTTCTTTATAGTAAACACGCCGATATATTTATATTCAGGACGATAATGAACTGTTTCATTGTAAGTCTCGTATAAAGAAATCTAAGTACTTTTAGAAATGACGAGTATATATGAACTTGGCATTTTAAAAAGTTTTTCATCACAGTCATTGTATCTCCTCATTTCAATTGTTTAACCGAAAATAAAGATGAATGAAACTTGTAGCTGCAAAAGAGTCCTTAGCGTCACGATTCTCCTTTCTTTGTTATTTGTAGTTAACCTAGTCATGAATATCTTCAAGAAGAATTTAATTAAAATATCATATACAAGAGAAATGTTGTTCTTTAATGCTGCTATTGCTACAAAAGGGCTTCTTGCCCTATTGCTGTTGAAATGATTAAACACATTTTTAAAAGTGTCTGAACACAATCTCATTGTTTGCATTTCTAATTTTCAGGATTGTTAAAAAAAACCCTCCAATTTAAGGTATTGAAATACCAAAAATAAGGTTTCAATATCATAAGGACATTTTTAATTATATTGCGTCTGTCATCAGTTTTTGTGAGAATGACACGATATCTAATAAGATAAAGATGAATGAAACTTGTAGCTGCAAAAGAGTCCTTAGCGTCACGATTCTCCTTTCTTTGTTATTTGTAGTTAACCTAGTCATGAATATCTTCAAGAAAAATTTAATAAAAATAGCAAATACAAGAGAAATGTTGTTCTTTAATGCTGCTATTGCTACAAAAGGGCTTCTTGCCCTATTGCTGTTGAAATGATTAAACACATTTTTAAAAGTGTCTGAACACAATCTCATTGTTTGCATTTCTAATTTTCATGATTGTTAAAAAAATAACTCCAGTTTAAGGTATTTAAATACCAAAAATAAGGTTTCAATATATCATAAGGACATTTTTAATTATATTGCGTCAGTCATCAGTTTTTGTGAGAAGGACACGATATCTAATATTTTAAATATTTATGTTTTATCGAGTGTGTTTTTTCTGCACACCTAATTGACTACACAAAGACAATACTGGTGAGTTTGTTTTATTTTTTCTCATTGCTACCCTGAATTTCTTGAATATGGTTTTCATATTTTTATTCATACACATCATAATTTGTACTTTTTTGAGAATCGAAAACCAAGCATAAAATGTACTTCAATAATGTTCCAGAATATATGTTGACCAAATCGGTCCAGGAATTCAGTTAAGTTTTATTTATAATAAATAAGACCAAAATAATCTTTTAATAATTGTTCAGGAGAAATATTTCTGTATCATCGAATACATAGAATTATATGAGAAATAAATATTGTTCAGGAAAACAAGAATATAATTTAACTTCATAAAAAGCTTACTAAAATAACTTCCATTGCAAATATGAACTGCAGAAGTTCATATAATTATGTAAATTTTCTATTTTATTCAATGTTCGACCTAATAAATGTGACAAAATGCTGGTGACTTTAGAAAAAAATATACCCTGCCGTTAATAAACCAAAAGGTACATGTAGTACGTTAAATACACTATATATTTTCTGACCCCTAATTGTCCATGAAAATGCTAAATGTGCCTATGCTCAGGGAATATGGAAATATAATGATAGGCCAACTTAAAGTCAAAGGTGGTAACAAAACACCGGCTTCAAAAATGTCCCTTGCTACCTGTGCGTCCTCGTACCTATATTTGTATTTGTATAAATGAACGTTGACATGCCTGCAGTCTAAATCCAACCTAGATTTACCTGATCTATTAAAAGCCACTGTGAGTGGATTTACTACCACAGGTCTATTATTAACCACTGAAATGCATTTTTTTGCCAACAAAGACTATATCTCGGATGTAACAAATTCAGAATTTTCAAAAGAAGACCTATTGTTTTTCAATTCTACATCGCCTGGGACTGTTTTGAAAAGGATTTTGTAACCTTGAGAAATGATATCTTTAATATAAATGCTAGCACCTGTTTCGACCCACCTGACTAAATTAATGTTTAAATGACCCATCGGACTTACACGCTGTACAGAGCATTGATCCCTGACAGAACACAAAGAAGAACTTTGAATGAAATTCTTTGTCTGATCTTACAGAATCTTTGATTAAACAAGGATCTAAAACACTTATCTCTGACTCGTTGATTTTCTTTCTGCAATCCCTCGTCCAATGACCCTTTCCGCCACATCGGAAACAAGTTCCTGGTTTAGATGTGGGTGACTTTGTTTCGTCTTTCTTGAAAGTGTTTTGTCTGAATGACGTGTCGAAGGGTGTCCGCGCTGCTCGTTGTTGTTTCTCTTTCTTCTCTGCCAACGTTATTGCCTTCGATATCGTCTTCTCATCATCTGAATCATCTGCGATGGAGTTAGCTTGACATCCCAATAGACTTGAGTCCGCGATTTTGATCAATTTCTGCCTTTCGGTAAGAAGTTAAATACCATTTTCGTCCTCGCTGTGTTTACTTTGTCCAATGTAATATTTTCACTGCCCAGGCAAGCGTCCGCTTCTCTGAGTTAAGTAATGACTCGGGCCTTTCCTCTATATTGCGCTTCGTTCCCGTGCCCAATAAACTTGTAAGTGCCGAAAATATTCTCTTCTATCTTGGCTAGCTCAGAAGACGAAAGATTTTTTTGCGTGATTTCATTGCAGTTTGAAAATTTTGAAATGTTGATCCATCACGGTCTGCATGCTCGACAAAATTTGATTTTGTGAAGATTCCATCGCTTTTTTAACCTCAGAGCTGATAATTCTTTGCATCTCAGGATTGACGTCGGTGTCCCCGATTTCCTCCATAATAATTTTGACTTGTCTTCTTCAGAAGACGGGCTAGAACTGATATCTCGTGCTATTCGAACACTTCTCATAGAAAAAAAGGCAAGTGAGTTTAAACCTTAAATTTCATTGGATAACATTATTTCCGAATCAAGAAGACAATTGTTCTCCGCTAATCTCCGTACCGCAGAAAATATTGATTCTTGACATTTTGCTTTTCCTCATGAAATTTGCCTGGCTTGATATGTTTTTCTAAAGTTAGTATTACAATTTTAGCACCAAGATAGCATATTCTAAAATTTGTTTTCATCTGTAAACCTTTCCTGACTTTGATTTGTCTATATCTGCTTTTTTATTGAAATATTATTAATATTTTCCAAGTCTACTTCATTTTTCATTTCTTAGAGAAAAAATTCTAAGAATTATCCACTTTTCTAATCTTGTGATATTAAGTCTCTTACAAGAAAAATTTTTTTGTATTATCTATCCTTAAAACGGACAATATTGTTCTCCATTTCCAGTGTTTCATGTAAGAAAAATGATGGGAATCATAATAATGATCGATACTAAATTTATAAAATTTTGACCCAAACAGATGGATAATATCATGAAAAATACGAATCAATACATTATTTGCAATCAGAATATGCAAATAAAAGCAAGGAATAAACGGAAAAAATCTTAGACCACGAAATCAATACTACACGTCGGCCACGAGATTCTAGTGTGCAATCGATTGTAATGAAACCAAAGGGTTTTTACGCGCTTTACCCCGTTTTGATGGTGCCTATTTATTAGAAGTGTTCAGCTTAAATAAACAGGTATAAAACGGTTAATCCCAATGATCTACACACAAAAGTAAATAAAGGACGGCTGTACACCCAGAGGTAAATTATTAAGTGTTTATGAGATCGAGATAATTTTTATGCCTCTTGATTTTGAAAATACTAAATAATATAACCATGATACCTGAGAAGAAAAATAGAGGTACTCTAGTGAATAATACGAACTTAAACAAGTAAGAATGCATATTGGAGACAACAGATAATTGTTAATCTCATCAACATATTGACGTGATTATGTATTAAAGATATACTTCTCACTTTTTAACCGTATATCAAATAAAATGTTCATATTTTAAATAATTAAAATAGCTCATTATATTGAATTGGTTTTATCAGTATAAGTTATATCGACTTAAAAAATTCTTTAAAATGTTGACCAAATCAAGAGATGCTAAAATTTTATATTAAGGACAGACGAAACGTTCCTCGATAATATATAATTTTTTCCAAGACTTTGTTAATGAACAAATACTATGCAGGGGTGATAAGGAAGCATAAAGAATATTCTACCTTGACTAAGTCAGTGAAACATTATGACGTCATAGTGGGTGTGATGACGTCAATTTTAGAACACAGGTTTTCGTTGTATTGGTTATTTAGAGATGTAATTTAACTCTAAGAAATAAATTGAATCGTGTAAAAATTAACAAAAATAAGATGTTTTTATTTTGTTATGCTGTATCTGTTAATTTAATTAAAATCTAACAACGATGACGTCATATGTGTACATCGAGTAACTTGGGAATTGATTATGTCGTGTAAAGAGAATTTGGCTAATATGGCATGTACAAAGATACGTAAACTGGAGTTTAAAAGCAAATATCGGGAATATTATGTGAAATTCACACAGAGTTCAGTTATATAAATAGGTATGCTAATTTATTTTCGTCAATTATATTCTCTTTCGAAGACAGTCAGCTATATCCGTATCCTAGTCGGTCTTTCCTCGGTCATTCGTGACAAAAATAATGCCATAGAACAACAATAAGCTGGATATTTCAAAACATAAGATTTGTACAGATGGAAAGTTCGCCTTCTAAAATACTTGGAAAGTGCTGCTAGAATCCCGAGTTAAGCATGGTTTTACGAAAATTCTCCTTTCATATGTGTAAAATACAAAACGAAGGGTAAGGTTTCGTACAAATGTGTTATAATTATTTTACTGACAGGACAGTGGGATTCTAGCAGCACTTTTTAAGCAAAATAGAAGTTTTTCGACTATATTATTTACTTTAAAAAATCATAAAACTCCGGGGTATTGTTGTTCTCTTAGCTTTTTCATTAAGGAACATTTCGCTATTATTAGAAGTCACATGATGTCGTGGTGGTGGCGCACGTCATAGAGTTAGGCGCTCTTTTATCTTAAGGCAATAGTTGATAAAAGTGTACGTTTATCAGTGGTTTTGTTTAATTATCTAACTTAATTTTTTTTAAAAAGTCTAATTTTCCCGAGAAATGATTTAAATGCTTCCTTAACATACCTGCGTATTTAAACATGTTAAAAAGATACCAGATGATGGCATTTGTTATATTATTCTTTAGGAGGAAATGTAAGTTTGCCAAATGTCATTTTTAGTGCTTAAAAATTTTAAAAACAATTAGAAACAGGTTTAGAAATCAGAATTAATTAAACTTTTGTGCATTTTTCATACATTATGAAGAGATACAAAACAGAAATTTGTGGAACGTATTGTCTGGCCTTAATTGTGAAATTCTGTTGGGTTCGCTATCGAAGTTTTTTCGGTCCTCTCTGTGTTTCATATAGGGTCAGATTGGAACGAAAACCTAAGCGAGCGCAGATTTCAATAGTTGTAATGTTACAAATTTAAATATATTTTTTTTTAATTTCTTAATGTTCTTTGGATTTTTTTGAATCTACGTTTAATTAACACAGACACTTTCAGAAAATGCAATGGCTGAAGTTCCTCCCTTGTTGCAAATATTCGTAATGAGTAAAGATAATGATTTAAAAGAAAATTTGCTGAACTCGTTAATGTGTTTATCTCTTTATGATATTTAAAAAAGACATGTAAGGAATCCATTAAGAGTAGGTTAAATTGATCCTACTTGTACCTAGTTTATAATCTTGAATGCTAAAACTATTTTAGATTAAAATTGATTTCATGTATTAGGAATTGAAAGTTGTATATATTGTACATGTATTTTTTGTAATCAGCATTGCTCTTTAACGCAGGCCTGAAAAGAAACTTTATAACTAAAACGTACCTCCAGCTGCATCAAAAGGAACAACAAAACACTCCCAAATGAATGTTGAATGCGAGGATCTGCCTTTAGCTGTCCAAAATGGAACATCAAAACCCTCCGAAACGAAACTTGAAGACGAGGGCGTATCTCCAACTCTCCCAGAAGGAACAAAAGAACAATCCCCAGGGAAACTTAAAGACGATGATCTACCGGCAGCTGTCCAAAATGCAACAACGAATCATTCACAAATAAAGATTGAAGATGAGGACATACCTCCAACTGTCCCAAAAGGATCAAGAATACACACCATAAAGAAAATGGAAGACGACGACGTACATCCATCTGTCCTAGAAGGAACAACAAATCACTTCCAAATAAAAATTACCTCCAGTTGTCTCAAAAGGATCAATAAAACACTTCAAAATGAAAGTGGAAGACGAGGATCTAACAACAGGTGTCCTATAAATAACAATAAAACACGCCCAAATGGAACTTGAAGACAAGGAAGTGCCTCAAAATGTACTAAAAAAGAACAACAAATATTCACATCAACCTGACCTGGCAGATATAGAAAGGGTAGGCACATATTAATCCAAATATAGAACACGCGAGATCAGTAGCGTGAAAGACGAGTTTTAGTAAATACATGTATGAACAAAGGAGGAGCGAGATATTCACGGGAAATGATTTCCAAATTTTAGATTAAATTTTAAAGGTTAAAGGAGAAAATATTATAGGTAAAAAGATATTATTTTAAATTGAAATCATATTTATAAGATTTAAAACAGAGTATTAAAATTTAAACTGTAACTAAAATATACTTCGCGTGAACGTAGAATAAATTGAAGACAGATGTAAGGAAAGGATAATTTTCGCATAACATACTTTTTGGAAAAAAAAAAAATCTTCTACTTTGGATTCTTAGTTCTGCCAAAAATTAGGAAAAAACGAACAAAATAAAAGATAATCAGTACTTAACAAAAGCAAAAAAACAAAGATAGAAATCATGATTAAAAGAAAAATAAATTTACAATCGTTAAGAAAGAAGATTGACAAAAAGTATAGTACCCTTACAGTTTGCCTGATTGGCATAGATAGAGAAATTTGATAAGCATTTGCCAGTCTTGGTACGTCTATGATTCATTAGTTTGTTTATAGTTTGATGATCATTTCTACATATTCCTCAACAATGAAGTAACATAGAAATAATCTGAAATGACTTCAAATCTAAATTGGAACTACGAGAATTGACTTCATTATTTATAACTATGTACACATTGATGAGTAAAGAAAAAGAAAAGGAAATTTCCAATGAGTAACTACTTAAAATACCATTTAGTTTTTTTACATACCGTTAAATCAGATTAATTATTTTTGACATTAGTGCTTTTAGCACAAAAAGAAATACAGGTACCGATTTTTAATTCACTTTGTAGATTTATAAGAGAGTATCATAAAATGCATATATCTGGAATTTCAAACACGAGATTCTTTACATTCTTTTTCATGTTTTTAGATTCTTAATATTCAAAATATTTTATCACTGGTTTTAACAACATTAAAAGTTGTACTGAGCTAAAATGATACAAACATAATTCGGGATGATTCAAGTAAATACAAAGATTGCGTCATTTTTTTTTTGGGGGGGGGGGGGGGGTTGTGGTTTCTGAACTAAAGACAGCTTTGAAGTTTATATGTAAACATTGAGCCTGCTATCAATATAAATAGGAATAATTGCATTCTTTTGATGACCAGGGTCTTTTCCATTAATTTTCAATTTGCAAATACATCAATGTGTTATTTTAAAGCTATATATGCCGTATTAGTGTTTTATTTTAAAAGTAATAAATATATGTGGTGTCTCATCAAGTTATATAAGTTATATACTTTCTGCAAATAAGACAATTCCACTCCATCACTTTTAAAAATTATGAAATATTATTTAGTAAAAAATATTTTCTCTCCGTGTCGGATAAAAAACCGCCTCTTATTGAAATATTCATGATCACGTTGTCTCGCATGTTTACAGCAAACAATGGTCCAATCTCGTCAATGAACCGAAAAGCATGATGGTCTACTACGTTTTTACTACAAACACGTGAGTTAGGGATTGTCAATTTTGAGAGCACCTCAGAGTTGGTTGCTTTTTGTACCGAGGAATAATCACGTGCAATTGTCTTTCAATGGACATTTTCGGTTGGGTGAACTTCTACAGCTGTCAGCTACTATGGATAAAGAAGTGTGGAAACCATATTGCGCCAAAATGAAATAAACAACACAAACAAATGATATAATTTGATCAATCAAAATGGTTATTAGATACATTCGATTCTGCATTTCTTAATGGTTCAAAACAACAAAAAGTTTTCCACAGAATATCATGTATAAATCTGCACAATATACCGAATGCCAAAACCAGAATACTACTAAATAATATAATTACATTCTTTACATATGAACCACAGTATTTCTGACCCCTTGAAAATAATATTAAAAATCTTGCAAGTAGGTTATCAGCATTGGCTCGGGCTAATTCGAAAGTGAAATTTGGAGTTTGGCAGTAAATTGTAGTAAATGAAAAAAATTTAGAAGTGAAAGATATTGGAACCTATTTTACTTGTCAGATTTCTTCGAGCTAGTTGAATTTTATTCTAACTATTCTATCCCCCCACCCACTTAAAAAAAAACCGATGCTACCTACCTGAATTAATTTTTCTTAATGGTGTTCATCGAAATGCTTGGTTGTGCCCTCAAACTGGAATAGCATTTAGAGGCCTGGAATTCCTTGACCAATTTTATTTTATTAGCCCAACTATATTTCTAAGAAGGCAAGATGTATGGTATGTAAGTTTCATCTACATATGTTATGTAGTTCATATTAAAAAAAATAAAAGGGATAATTGACGATATCCCATTCAGGGTGTAAACATAGCAGTTTTAATTACTTCCCATACATTGTATTTGACATAAAATATCTTTTGCACATAATGCGCTCCATACTGAAGATTCGTAAATGTTCACCCAACCGAAAATGTCCTTTAGCAGTACAGCACGGGGAAACTCTAAACAAACGGACCTGTACAATGGAGTGGGGAAAACTTTAATTTCATCATTGTTAATCACTTGTATGCAAATATGAGCTTGGGATTAGTAGATAATAATGTACATAATGCATCAAGTCTTTCTGAGAGCGATTTTAAAAACTAGCCTTTTCAGTATTTTATGTAGTAACCCATAAATGCATTAAATGCAACTCATTGAGCTGATTGGTCTATTTGTGTCCCTCACTGAACAGACGTCACAAAAAATATTTTCCTCGACCATTCTCGCGATGCTTTTCCCGCGCACATGCGCAGATCCAGGATAAACGCCAGTCCTTTATAAATATGCATGAGAATATCGTGTTCTTTTCCTGACCAGTACTTTGTTAATACCGAATAAAATTTCGTCGAATTTGCAAGAATGTTTCATTTTTGGTAGCTTATCATACTCCAGAAATTTTTGTTCGGTTTCAGCTGTGCAAAAATACTGTTTAACACGGCACACATATCTTTAACATCATCATTACATAAAGCGTTTCAAGTGTTTTTTAATATATTTAGTTTTTGTCGCTATCCTTTCATTTTCCAATTTTCTAATAAACCAAAGTGTTATCGTTATTTCGTTGCAGCACCGTGATTATCATTTTTTTTTTTATTATTTATTTCACAAAAAGACATCTAGCAATACCCCAATCAAGACTTCAAATCCATCAAGTTCAAACCGAAGTTTCCTTTCTGAAGAACTTAAAATGGCTAAAGTGGTTAATGAAATTGAAAGTAAACGAAAGTTATTTTTTTTTTAGTTCGGGTAACTTATATTCAAAAAAGATATAAAGACTTGTACAGTAGATATAACAATTTTTACCAAAGATATTTTGGTTTCATTTGAGTTTGTGAGAGGTCAATGTTCAACCAGATTTTTTTAACGCATAGAAGACTAGAATTTGAAAGGATTTAGTGTCTCAACAACTCTTTCAAAGCATATGTGCTTATTTATTCGGAAATATTAAAAAAAAGTATAACAAACATTCTCTAGTGATTTAATGATATGATTAATATACATGTAGTATGGATCGATCTTTTTTTTGGAGAGGAGACAAGCTTTGTACACTACTTTCAATGAATCTGAAAAGATAATTGGTTGATATTTGAAGAATAAAAAAACCTTCTTCACAACGTTTTAATCACTGGCTACGTGGTTCCTTTATTGGCAAAAATTCTCCTTTTTTCTTATTTTATTTAAATGTGGATAAATATATCGAATTTTTTGCAGAAGGAAGAACAATTAAAAAGAAATACATACATGACCAATATTGCTATCACAACTAAGAAATCAAATAACTTTTGATTTGTATTGACCCTTGGGTTAAATACATACATTCCATGTATATCAAACCTAGAATTTAAGCAACCATAAAAAAAATCATGTAACTCAATATCAATTTATAAACCCAGAAATACTACATACATGTAACATTCGATTGGCAATTGCATGACCGAATAATTTAATTGCACTTTGTTAAATATACTTGGAATTTCAGGTGCAAACAAGAAACGAAACAAGCCTGGAAATCATACGTGGACATGTCTTTATTGTACATGGCTAAAATTGTAATAAACATGAATCAACATGCCGGTAATAGTCACCTTTTTTTAATCAACATGTTTGGATCAGAACTGATTTGGCAGGAGACTTAGTATTTGGTCTTGTAAAAAGAATAAAAGAGGTCGTAAAACCTCATGGATTCAAGATTAAAGAAAAAAAATAGGCTTAAGTAGGTTTTTCTGACCATAATTGGTGTTTTGGTATGCATTTGGAAAATAAATCAAGCAGTTCTTCTTGTACTGGCTATCTAGTGTTTAACTAACTAATAATTGCATATACAGAAATATTAAAGCTCATACAAAAGATAAAGTTAAATAAACAAAGAAAAATATCAGATACAAAAAGAAAAATAATAAAATTTGCTAATTTGATTAAGATAAGTCGTCTATGTGCTGATCAATTTGATATGAGAATAGAAAGCTTAAATTGTTCTCGTAAACATGCTAAAGACGTACAAAGATAGTCAACAAACCCAGGGCTGTAAGTAATTTATATGAGTCAAGTTATCTAAGAAATTTGAAAAGGGATGGGAGATGAATTAGCAGACAACTGTTTGATGACAAAAACTTATATTGTGCGATATATTAATTTCAAATATAATAAGTATTTAGAACTTGATTTTTCAAGCAGGCTTAATCATTTTTCTATCCCTCCCTCATTTTGTAGTAACTTTCTTTAAGATCCATTTTTTTCTACAAACAATTATTCTAAATAATATTTAAACAAGTTAACGGA